TAAGTGCGACAATGTGTGTACTTAGGACATGGACTAAGCGTGCTCGTGTACATGCAATATGTTTTACCACAGTATGTCGACTAACGAGTCATAAATGTACATGATTTCGACTAAAACTTGACGGCAGTGACAGGATATATGTCTACTTTACATGAAAGCAACTACGAAATGTTATCACGCACCATAAATATAGTACGAAATAATCTAATGAAATTATGAAACTCGCCTGGGTTACTCTTGCTTATAAGTAATGAAGCAGACCGTAGTTTGAATCCGGATTATGTACGACGTACTGTTGATTAAATTTTTTGATTAACACAGAGTTGTAGACTGAAATCGTATAAGTCCAGAATTAATTTAAGCCAAATACATAGCATTGCCTGATGAACAGTCTAAACGTGATCTAAGACTGAAGAAAATTTATAGTTTAAACTCACTGTAAATTTCTAGCATTCGTATCCACTGTTTGGCCATGGAACTCAGCAATTGGAAATTAGACATGCCGTGGTCAAAGAAAGTAAAAAAACTAGTGGATAGTGGTCAAGCAGAATGATGCATCTATAACCGACAGTTAATCTTGTTGCAAACAGGTGTGTGTTCGTGTTGCTTTGTGGCTATACTTACTAGTGGTTGGTACTTTAACATACATATTACACAGGAGCATTTACATGCTGCTAATGCTTGTTAACGAACCACGATAGCCGAATACAATCATAGTTGATTGATTAGTTCTGTCGATTGAACTAATTATTTAAGTTTAAATACTAATCAGTATTGACATGAAGCAACGAAAGTTCACAGTGATAGATTAACATAGGCGACGATAAAAATGAAAAAGAATAAGTATAGAATGCAATAATAAAATTTATGATAATAGGTTGCGCTATTCGAAGTCTTGCTCACTAGTGTAGATCACCAACGTAGATGATCTATGTCGAAAACGATTGGAGACCTACTCGAATTAGACGGGAATGGTGTGACGAACCAGCTAATTTCGAAGTCACACTTCGTGGTCGGCACCTTATGTGGACTACCCCATTGACGTATCAAGGTACTATAGATGCTTTAAAGACTGTACAACACAGAGAACGTTATTACAGAAATATATTATTTAAAGTAGATACAAGCGAAAGTAAGACCACTGCCGCATGCACCAGTCTATGGCATATCATTAACTGATGCGCGTTGGTTGTTTCTGACCTTGACGAGGATCGATGATTTGCTCGATATTCAGTGACCCGACTGCCGGATGATTTGGCTAGGGCTTAGTGACATTTCGCTGGCCCTACAAAGTCTTTCCTAGCGGTTAGTACTTTACGGAGACTGCTTTCTTTTTGGTTTTCATACACTATGAATTCCCTGATGAATGCATATAGCTACTGTGACATTACGGATGAAATGTATTAGTAAAAACAGGCTAGGTGAATACAAAGTTCTACTACTGTTGCATCGTCATGTCTATGGATTGCGGGTAATCAATCCGCGGTCATATTTAACCTTGACAGTGTTGGACACGTTGTCGTTCGAAATCTAAATGTTTCATCTCTATGGGTGGTTTGATTGTTGCCCAGTAATATTTCATTGACCGTATAGAATCTCGAAGCTACAACATCGTAGGCTGTTGGTTATTTAGAAATTTCTATAGCTCACTCCTTTGTGATGGTTTGTCCTAGTATGTATGTCTGAGACTATTTGAAAGCAGTAAAATAAGGGAGCAATGAGTATTTGGCATTATTTCGCGTCCATCTTAGAATTTTTAAGTAATTTGCTGCCAGAAGAGATTTTGTCTTGTTATAGTCCTGTCTCATTTTTTAAGAAATCTACACTGTGTGTCGTGAACACACCAGTTAACTGACGTAATGGACGAAAAACGAGCGATAATGACATAAAATGTAAATCATTTATCCTTGAACATTTTCGTTGACCGACCACGTTAATTTGATGTAATAATGAAAACGGATTACGAAAGTGTTGCAGTGTGTATATTTTATACGTCGATTCGTGAGACTGATGAAGAGGAATCAGTGTGAGTTTTAGGTAGAAAAACGAGCGAAAAATGGTGAGTATATAGTAAGTTAATTTTCTAATAATTCGAAAATTTAAAAATCACAGTATTGTACGGATAGCAGACAGGTGTAAGGCAAGCACACCTTGAAACATGCATTAGTGCGACTAAAAAGATTGTAGCGACAAAGACATATAGGAAATCCTGAAGTGCTTGACTGAAGTAAAATGAAATAGTCCACTGTCAAGCAAAAACAAACTGAGAATAAAAAAAAGAACTACCACTAGTTGATAAAAGCAATCTGAAAAAGTCTGCACAATACCAGTAAAAATAAAAGAACTCCGTGCCACTCCTGCAACAAGATAACTGAGACGGCAGTTCTTAAATGATCTGCTTTCTTTTAATTTGAGAGGCTTTTTACTTATTTTTGGTGGGCGGCAGAATCTTTTATTGCGTTACTGTTGGCACAAGGTAGAAGGTAGTTTAATAAGTCGATTTTGTTGTTTGTGATGCCATAATCAAGCCATGTTGCCGCCGCAGTTCGTCTCAAAATCGGCATTTCTTTGGTGGTCGGTTATGTACATGCGAGTACAGTCGCGGTCAAAATTATTTCCCTTGCAGGGTCAGTGAAATTTCACTAAGCCGTAGCTAAATCATCCGACAGTTAGATCACTGAATATCGACCAGGTCACGAGTTGGTAAACTGTGCTCAACTCCAACTGCTATTTAGTTTAGATCAGTCACTCATCCATTAGGCTAAATAGAGTTTTTTGCATTATAACTGATATCAGTTCATGATGGAAACGCAAAATCTAATTCTGAACCTTAACCATCAAGTAAAAATCATAATTCTCATTCCTCATGCTGGTTTTTTCACGTTTATTCGGTCCTAGGTATTAGGTGGACACTCAAGGTCACTAGCGCCGGTCAATCAACGGTTTATGGGTGATCTTTACAGGTCACCCATAAACTGTAGTCTCGCCACGGGTACTTACTGCCCGTACACAGTTTTCTAACTCATAACTCACTGGCGTTTCGTGGATCGTGGTAAACATAGTCGTATCTAACTAGGCAAAAACTCACCAATGCATGTGATGATGTCACAGGAATTCAGTGTTTGACAACGCTTCTACCAGTAACACCTTCTAATATATTTCGTTCCCACCCAGAGAAATCAAAGACAGATTCGAGGAGATCGGAAGAGTATATTTGGCGATGACCAATATATCGGAATTCTCTGATCTAATCTGGCTAGCGATTGCGGTTGATGTTGAGCACGGCGTTACCACACGTGATCTGGTGCGGATGCCTGACCGAGCGTCTTCAGCTAGATGAGTCCACTAAAACATATGGTCAGCATCCAATGTCGAAAACTTAGTGCCATTTATTTTGGGGATTTATTTACCGCTACACATGTAACGTCCAAAACCGATTAGTTGTGACTACACGTCAGTGAGTCATGGTCTTACGATTACGGTTTACTATTGCCCATAGGTAATTGTAGGATAAAATTAAAGGCTACTAACGTTTATTTGTCCACTCTGGACATCGACCGAAAAAATTGCACCAGTATGATTTAAAACTTTCGCTGTCTAAATACCAGAAGTGACTTCCATGCCTCACTAATCTGTTTTGCATCGTTTTTCGGTTGACAGAAAGCACTGACACTCCTATCAGTTGCTGTAAGGAAACATTTTTCTCTATGCTGACATCAGTCAACTGCATTATTTCCTGTTCCATGACTTTCAGTTTATAGCCGACTGCGAAAAAAATGGCGCAACACAATGTATAACACTATTTGCCAGATAAACAAAGGGCTTATTGTAGAAGTCGCAATGAAATATGTCTGGAAGATTGAATATGTAAATCACTGAATGAATGCCTTTCAACCTCTGTTAGTGAATTCAAGCCAATTGTTGTCAATCTTTTTGAACTGTCTACATAAAGTGATAATATATCCGAGCAATCTGTCGTGGCAAATTGGTTGGTAAAAACCGCTACTTGTTTTTACAGGATTTACTGTTTTCACATTAAAAGTGATCTTAAGCTCATTTGCAAATTTGCAAGTTCTAAAGACGTCAATTAGTCAGATAGTTTCTGGTTGCGGCCCGCGCGACAACGTCGATGATTGATTAAAGGTGCTAAATAGCATGACTTGGAATATGTCAAAATAGCTCAAGTATATGGATTCTCTGTCTTCCTCTGGACTTAGTTTTCCAGCATCTCATGCCTATACTTTCCTCTTGTCATCCCGAATCATATTTCCAATGCTTAGTTCTTATAATTACAATTTCTACTGGATTGCTTCGATTTTTTAGTTATTCATCTTGTTACTTTCATTTCATTGTGCTAATGTGTTCGTTTTGGTCCAGTACACGTTCATGCACACTCTACGTTGATTATGGCCGAATAACATGGTATTTTGCTCCACTAGGGTATAGTTATATGTGTTTAGCTATTACAGTCATGTATATTTCGTGTAATTTTTTTCAGAGATTTTTTCTCTATGTCCTTGAATTCGGCTACTATTCTCTATTAGCTTTTAGTCTGCTTGTGAAATCTCCATTTTATGGGCAGATAGCTATTCAGTAGTTTAGGTGTATAAGAATTATGTATCAAATATATTTTATGAATCAATGGACAAGTGATTTTGACATAGTACTTAGTTTGTAAGGTATAAATGATGGTACTTGTTTTCAATTCATTTCGATTTTTATGAAAGAGATTTGTGTGACATGTTTCAGTATACAATTTACTTTGAGGTTTCATCTAAATATTTCAAGCGTTAATAACTTACTGAGTTTTGTATTTCTTTCTTTTCATTTAAATCCAGTTTATTGATACCATACAGTTGTCGTAACACCTTTGTAATGTCATTGGACTTCAGTGGTACTCTTCCCAAATACTACTTGTCCAAAAGTTTTGGCCAAGTCGGACATTTTGCTGGCTGTTATAGATTTGTTTTCTGAAGGAAAAATAAAGCTTAACCTAATTAATGATAAATATACCGGATTCAATCCTAGAGCAAATTTTTATTTATTTGAATTGGAATGAACGTTCACGAGCTGCTCGTGTGTGTAAAAAGTGGTATAATGTGTTTCAATCTCCTGTCTTGTGGAGGAAAATCGTTTTTAAGCCACCGTGTCGTCGACTAACAAAACTTCAGTATGATATTAAAGGCTATCGTTTGTCTTGGTGAGTCATACCTAATTTTTTAGAGAAAGATATAAACGTCGTTTATAGAATCAAATATTTGTTTGTCATTACCTTGTTTAGTGATCTAACACTCCCCTACTTTAATGATCGTATTTCTGATTCGTACTTCTTACCAGGTTCAGTCGTTTAAGTTTTTACATTTATATGTAACCTGAATCAAGGAAATATATACCAGTCCTATAACTACAGGTAAGTTTTATATGAGGCCTGATTTTAGCAGAAAACGAATTGAAATCAAATATATTAAAATAGATGTAACTGCTGACACTATCATAATAGCATCTGAACTTGTGATTGTAATATTGACACAGTGATATGTCACATTCTGATACGATGAACGAAAGCTGTGCCTAACAATCAGGTTTTCTTTGATTGATGAGTGAGTGGACTACAAATTAATTTCATCCAGTCTTTTATGAAATTCTATCATGTTTATTTTTCTGAATATTCTGTTCATAAGGATGTCATTTCCTTACGAAAAATCTTCTGGGGGCTTCGATTCAAGAAAGCTTTTATACAAACTGGACTTCTCACTGCAGTTAAGGGGCAGGGATGAGTTGCAGAGTGATAGTTTATTTCGTCAATTTATAATTTTCACAGCAGCGACTGAATTTAGTGTGTACTTAAAATGATTTAGCTGAAATTTAGGCAACTTATTTGAATTATGGGCTTTACAAATGATATGACCATTTTAAGCTTTTACGGACGAAGCAAAAAATTTTCAAACACTTATCAAACTCACTTCTTTTCACGTGAACTATTTTAGGAGCAGAACCTAGTCTTTCGTTATCAACTTTTTTATTTGTATTAAAATGCGAGCCAGTTATTCGTAGCTGAAACATTTGTACATTTTGAGTAGCTTTATTCTCAGTTGATAGTTATTGAGGTGGTCATGACCACATCTAGCTGTTAGTGCTTGTTTATTGTCAAAATAGTTACGTCTTATTGCCAGCTTACTAATCGTTCTCTAGTTCAAGAGCATTTGAACTTCTGTTTTTATTTAACACACACTATAAAATCTATTGGTAAAGTAATTGGTTGTTGTTCAGTTCTAAAACAGGTTTATAGTGATGATTCAGTTAGTCAGTCATCTACAACGTGGAAACAGGCACATATATACATCAGTCTAAGTTGCCATACCTCATACCTAATTCATGGGAGCAGTTACTTCAATGGCAGTAATATATACAAAATATGATTGCATGTAAGGATATAATACAGCGAGAAAGAATTAGTTCGTAGAAGGAAAATTATAAAGTGATTTTAATCTCACAGTTTAAGGGAAGACAAAGAGTAACTACGCCCATGCGATTGTGATCGATTCTGAGCCATATCGCCCAGAGTCTCCAACCATTGGTTGCGATGGTCGCGTGAACCCCAACCAAGTCATTTGCATCTACCAAAATGGCTCAGACTAGGAGTTAGCAATGATTAGTCAATCTTGTGTGATTTTATTATTCTCTTTTGAAAAGTAAATTATCTCCAACTCCGGAATTAAAAATAAGTTCCTTATAGCTACGGATTATCTTCAGATAGTTTGTAATGTTTCCATTTATTTGGGTTATTTTCTAGTTGCTTAAAGGCGATTGGTTGCCATATTCGCAACTACAAGTTTTTGAAAACTGATGACTTGTTCCTACTTAATCGAACATTAAACCTTGTTGCAAAGTTTCTTGAATACAGTTTCAAATTAGATGGACAGAAGAATGAACCTAATAATGCCTGCGATTCAGATGGCAATGAATATAGTGACCTACCTAAAGAAATCGAAAATTTATCATATGGAAATCTGAACCGTAATGTAATGCGTGAAACAGACTATGGACTTGCTGGTTTTATTATTGAAGGTGATCCAGATGCCGAAGCTACTCTCAGGTTAATATTTGAGCTGCAAGAGCATGAAATTCAGGACTTTTCATCTGATTTATCCTCTGAAAATAGTGTAAGCATTTCACTGCTTTAAGTACCCAGTTTCATAATATATTTATTGATCATTGTCATTGTTCAGTTTAATAGGATATCTTTAAAGTAGAAATTTCAACAAATGTTTTCAGTTTTAATGGTGGGGGTTACACAAAACTCTACAAAGCTGTTTATCTTATTTAATGAAGATCTGTAACTTTCCACGTTAATGAATTGTAGTACAAAAAAATAACCAGGGTATATTAACATCAGCATGTTCATTGTCCTACAAAACCTTAAATTACGGTGTACAACACTCACTTGTACTTATTTGGAAGCATACTCTGGAGCTTTTATTTATTTGTCATGTTTAGATGGCTCAGGTTAAAAAGTACTAACTGAGTTTCCTGTATTTATGCCAAGATTTCGTCAGCTGAATACCTACTAAGACTGATAAGACTTCTGAAACTAGTAGACTGGTCAATATGCATAATCCCTTCACTTTCTTTAGTTAGACCAAAGACGATCGTTTGAAAGTCGTAAGCCAGCATACACCATTTATAGGGGGAGGAACACATTGCAAGCATTCTTGGATTCAAGTTGTTCAGACGACTCAACATTTTGTAAGGATCCTCGGGGGAAGTTGTCATATGCTTACTATAAAACGATGAATGAGTTTCCCGGTTGGAGACAGATCTCTGAGAGTTTTTCGTAAGCTATGATTCGATCAATCAGAACATGGTTGAACAGAAAAGAGATTATATTCCAAATAACGAGGTTAGATGGAAGTAAGAAGCAAGTAAGTACAATAGGAAAAATGTTAGTATATTTATAGGTTTTCACATGAGAAGATTTCTAGTGTTGGCTAACGCTGATTGGATAAGAATTAGCCAATCAGCGTGCACCAAAGCGGTCGTGCATTGAGCATGCTTTAATCCAGTCTATGTCCCGCTAACACGTTGATTCACAGCTGATCAAAACGATATCAAAAATTGGAATAAGGTACATATCAATTTGAATATCCGGTCAGTAAATGAATTTAGGTGTATCTAACTGATATAGTTGGTATTAATAAATTACTAATCTAATGTATGTCTATAATTTACGGTATCAACAGATATTGCCCCCAAATGCCCTGGTACGGCCGAGAGTAGGTAGAGTCCGCTCTCCCTCTCGAAATGCTCTCACATGGTCACGCGTTTATAGCCTCTGTCAGGGAAGTCCTACTCATTGCCTTCTCGTGGCGCAGGTGTTGTTTACAAAACTCAGAGGACGAAAGGCGAATGTCCAGCGCTCTAATCGAGTTGGTGGATATGGAGAGTTCATCTAGGGGAGTTGGAAAACCCTGATTCCAAACCAACGGTGCACATGGGCTCCAGGATCCTAAAGGAGCAAATGGCGTATGAACCAATTGTTGGTCACTAGATACCATGAGACTGCATTTCCTGACGTTGTTCCACTGCCTTGTGGATCAGACCTTTAGGTCGAAGGCTCCTGGTGTGGTCCCCTACGAAGCTCACCTGTTTCGGTTTGGGCACCCGGGCAGCATTGTAGCCCCCACACATGTATTTGGTGCCCCCCTTGTACCAAAATCTATGTTTTCAAATAAAATAATAATAACAGATATAGCTAAATTATTGAGTTACATTTTTTGGCTTCTTCATGAGAGTTTCATTCAAATACACGATGCAACCTTTTCTAGCTATATCTATATTATCATATCATTTAGCATTATATAATATTATTGGTCTATTTTATTTCGTTGTGTATGACTTTTAAGTTTTGCTAAACCTGAATTTCATTGTTTTTATTAGCAAGCTGATTTATTCAATGATTTAGAGCAATTTCAATCGCATAGAATGTCTTCCATTAGCTATCCTCCATCTCATCGTTATGATTGTAGCAGCTTCAAACGCAGTAAAAGCTCTCAGTATCCCTCATCTGTGTCAAATTTCTCACCTTTTCACCACCCACCTATTGTTCATTCTTTTGAATTGGATTTTCATTCTGAAGTCGATGATTTGCGTGGTCTTGTTTATGGAACTGGAGGTGCATTACTGAGAACGATTAGCCGAGTGGTACGTCAGTTAAGTGAGCTTCATCGTCTCCACCTAGTGGATCTTTTCTTGTTTCCGATGACGCCAGACAGTTAGTTTGTGAAATAAGTGATGTAAGTGTGAATTATAACTTAAATTATTTTTCACGTGCCTTGAAATTTTCTGAGTTGATTTGTAAAATGTCTATATCTTGGTCAAAACATTTCGTTTTATCAGCCATAAACATTACATTGTATTGTTTTGTTGGTCTGTAGGATTCGGATTTAGTTACTGTACGTGTAAACAAGTTTTGTTTCACTGTAGAAAATTTCGTGCGAATGCTGTGATAAAAACACAGTACATATAGTCAAAAGCTCTTGGGCTCGTGGTATTTTGTATTGGAAACCAAGCTAGAACAAAGTCGAGAAAGCCAGACGAAGTATGACCCACGTGTCATCATACCAAGCCTTTCAACTATGGTAATAGTGACAAGATTCGGTCAATAACCTCATCACCCATTCATCATAGTCATGTACGAAAATCCAATTTATATTTTTCTGGAAATCAGTGCCTAATGATAGGTGAAATGAAATATTTTGGTTTAATGTAGTGGTAAAGTTTTCATTGTTCCTTTTTTCGGGAAACAATGTACTACCTTCATTTTTCTCTTTTGTGTTATGCTAACTAGTTAGCAAAATATCTGTTAATATTGGGAACATTTGTAACATTCCAACAATAGGTTTCAATGATTCTGTTTAATTCTGTGTCATTTCGAATAAAAATCCTAAAGGTAGATTAGTGGATAGTTGCAATGACCTTGTTTGTGATCAAACCTTACCGATCAGCGCTCTCATAGCGAACTGTAATTTGATAAATACAAAAATAACGCAAAATCTGCAAGTGCTTCTCTCTATTTAGGTATGAAGCATATAACATAGTTCCTAGTGTGAATTTCGATACCATCTCTGCATTTTAACAAACAAGTCTGTAATTTTCGCCACTACCTAAACAATATAAGACTGGATAACTGGGTGTCATCCTTCATGCTTTTCCATCCTACTATTATAGCACACAGACGGAACTAGTGTTTCGAAAATCATATCGTTCACTAGATATTTCAATTTTCCATTACGACGTAAGGTGAATAATATATCAAGGGTTTCGATGATCAGGGAATTTGTTGTTTCATCGAATGAGCGGTGTTAAAATGCGTCATTTGGTATTTGAAGTGGATAGAAATTGCAAATCCTCAAGTGATGTAACCTAATAACACGTTATCGTAGGTTGAGTTCTTTTGAAGTCCTTCTTCAAAACATTCAGACTGTCATGTACGAATTAATTAGCGATGTTTGATTGTTTCTTTATCCAATGTCGTACACCGAATATATATCTATGAGTACCATTTTAATTAAACTTTGCCACGTGTAATCAACTTGCTAACGTCTTCTACGTCATTGTTGGTACTGCTACAGTAACAAAAAACTCTCACTAAAATGTTCCAAGTACTAACCTACTTACTTACGCCTGTTACTCCTCTTGAAGGAACATAGGCCGTTCACCAGCATTCTCCATCCATGTGAAGGATCCTACATCTTCCAGAGCTTCGCCATCAAGAGTGATTGGATTGCTGTTCCCCGTGTTGTATTTGAGGACCTTGGTTTTCCCCTTGTGTATGTTGAGGCCTACTGATGCAGAGACTGCTGCTATACTGGCTGCCTTTGTCTGCATTTGTGTGTGTGTGCGTTAGGAGGGCTACGTCATCTGCGACGTCCAAATCGTATAATTGATTCTGAGCTGTTCATTGTATGCCGTGTTTTCCCTCAGATGTCGAGGTCTTCATAATCCAGTCGACCACCAGAAGAAATGTTGAGTCGGCTTCCGGATAACTTCAACGGAACCTCCAGAGGCCCAAAAAGGAGCCGAAGGATCCTAGCCAATCAGAGTACGGTGGAACGTTCGAGAATTCCAGCGTGGCGTGCTATTATTGGTCGGTAGCATAATATGACGTTAACGGATTGGCTGAAATATGATGTTGATTTAACAGACGCCAACATCTATAAATACCCTTGATTTTCTGTACAAAAATGAACCTTGGGATAAAGTATTTTCTCTCATACTTGTGTCTTCTCTCTGGTGTTCAAGTCGCTGTGTAGTTCTAGTCTGCGGGTTACCAGATAGCTTAGGAGTCCTATATAGCGCTTCATCGACAAGACGTATCAAGAAAGAGGAAGAGAGAGTAGACAGTCTTGTCTGACTCCGGTCCTTACTTGGAATGCATCTGTCAGCTGTCCTTCAAGCACAACTATGCACTGTAGTCCGTCGTATGAGTTCCGGATAATGCTGACAATCTTCTCAGAAACCCCATAGTGTCGAAGAAGTTTCCATAACGTTTTCCTATCTCCACTGTCAAATGCTTTTTCATAATCAATGAAGTTGATGTACGGTGTTGAGTTCTACTCAATTGATTGTTCGACGATGATCCGTATTGTTGCAATTTGGTCTGTGCACGACCGATCCTTACGGAATCCAGCTTGTTGATCTCGAAGTTGGGTGTCTTCTGCATCTTTCATCCGGTTTAGCAACACTCTGTTAAAGAATTTCCCTGGTACTGATAGTAGTGTAATGCCCCTAGTTTTCACATTCGCTCAGATCTCCTTTCTTTGGAATCTTGGTGAGGTGTCCTTCTTTTCAGTTCGTCGGTACTTGTTTTTCCTCCCAATTCTTCCTGAGTAGAACGTGGAGCATCTTTGTAGTTACTATAATGCTGATTTCAGTGCTTCAGTTGGTATATTGTCAGGTTCAGCTGCTTTACCGCTCTTGATTTGTCTGATGACCATCCTGATTTCTACCGTCGTTGTTGGAGTGACATCTATTGAAAGGTGTGTGTGTGCTGCTCTGATGTCCGGTGGGTTTAGTAAAGCTGATCTATTCAAGATATTCTCAAAGTATTCTACCCATCTGTTCCTCTGTCCTTGAATTTCAATGATTAGCTTGCCTTCTTTGTCCTTGACCGATCTCTGGTCTACAATATTTCCCTGACCGTTTCTTCGTCGTGTCATATAGTTGCTTGAAAGTTCCTTCTCTTGCAGCTCTTTCTGCTGTCGTTGCTAGTTCTTCCACCTATTTGTGCTCGTCGACTCTGGTTCTGCTCTCCACTTGCTTGTTTGCTTCTGTGTATTCAGCTTATGCCTTGATTTTCTCAGCTCTTGTTCGACTATTGTTAATTGCTGTCTTCTTTTCTTCTTTTCTTGGATCCTGTCCAGTGTTTCTATAGAGATCCATTCCTTATGATGATGCTTCTTGAGGCCCAGAACCTCTTGACACGTTGAAGTTAATGCTTCTTTGATACCTTTCCAGTTGTCCTCCATAGTAGTTTCTTCTTCCTTCAGTAGATCCTATAAGGCTTGGAACTTGTTGTTGAGAGCTATCTTGAATTCATTGAGTTTGTCAGTATCTCGAAGGAAGGCTGTATTGAACCTTTGTAGTTCTGTTTGTCTAGTTGTTCAGTTCTTCTCTAGCTTCGGTTTTAAATTGGCTACAACTAGGTGGTGATCTGAAGCTATGTGAGCTCCTCTCTTGGTTCTCACATCTTCCATTGTCCCTTGGAACTTTTTATTGATGCAAATATGATCTACCTGGTTCTCTGTGGTGTGGTCCGGTGAGATCCATGTAGCCTTGTGTATACGCTTGTGTGGAAATATTGTTCCCCCTATGACCGATTTGTTGAATGCATATAGATTTGCAAATCTTTCTCCATTTTCGTTTCTCTGTCCCAGTCCATGTCGTCCCATGATATCTTTATATCCGGTGTTGTCTATTCCGACTTTGGCGTTTAGATCTCCCATCAGAATGGTGAGGTCCTTTTTTGGTCACTTCTCTATGATTGATTGCAGCGGCTCGTTGAATTGATCTTTAATGTCGTCGTTGCTATCATTGGTGGGTGCATAACATTGGATAATATTCATTGTGATCCCCTCCATCTTTGTTTTGAATGATGCTTTGATGATTCTGGATCCGTGAGGTTCCCATCCTACAAGTGCATTTCGTGCTACTTTGTAGAGTATTAGAGCAACTGCCTGAGTGTGTGGAGCATTTTCCTCCTCGTGGCCGGAGTATAGCAGCATCTCTATCGTATATAGCCTTTGTTGTCCAGCTTGGGTCCAGTGGGTTTCGCTGATTCCCAGTACTGCCAAGTTGTATCTCCTCATTTCCGTTGCTATTTGATTGGTTTTCCCGGTCTCTCACATTGTCCGGACGTTCCATGTACCTATAAAAATTGTTGTTCTGGTTGTTAAAAGGGGCATTGGTATCGTGGCTTCCGAAGGAACTCGGCTTTTACCATGAGGTGTCATAGTTCTTCCAAATGAAAACCTTCTAACTCTCAGGGCAGAGTTTAAATGATTTGAATTATTTTTTCTGGTTAGCTTTTTTTTAGCGAGTCAGTTTTCTACGGGATGGGGTGGCTGACCCCATGTCCAACCCTCCTCCTTTACCCGGGCTTGGGACCGGCAATAACTCTAGAAGAGCTACAGGTGGAGTTTATATTTTATCTCACGGGGAATTCCATATACCCTACTCTCATTTTGTTCACAACAGTATGCTGATATTTCTGCCTCAGCTTCATTCACTGTTAAAAGTTTTCAAAGCACTGCAAGGCCTTTGCATTTTTCCGATATTTATAACACATATTAACTCTATTATTTAGTATCATCTCCAATTATACGAAAATATTCAGTTTTTTATACCTTAATTTCGTCATGTATTAAACACTCTCGTCGACTGAATTCTCGGGTATTGATCTCCTTCCAGGAGGTCCACTTATCGACTTAGAATATGCAGATGACATAGTCCTGTTTGGTGAAGACGCTGACAAAATGCAGAGTCTTCTGGTAGCACTAAGCAACAATGCCAGAATGTTTGGGATGCGCTTCTCTCCCTCTAAATGCAAGTTGTTGCTTCAGGACTGGTCTGCGTCAACACCTGAACTAAGGATAGGGAGTGAAGTAGTCGAACGTGTTGACAACTTCACTTATCTTGGAAGTCTGATCAGCCCTAATGGGTTGGTGTCTGACGAAATCTCAGCACGGATTCGTAAAGCTCGTTTGGCTTTTGCCAACTTACGTCACCTTTGGCGGAGGCGAGATATCCGTCTATCAATAAAAGGACGAGTATACTGCGCGGCTGTCCGTTCTGTTTTAATTTACGGCAGCGAAACATGGCCCTTAAGAGTAGAAGACACCCGTAAGCTACTAGTATTTGACCACAGATGCCTTAGAAATATTGCTGGCATCTGCTGGGATCACCGGGTAAGTAATAGTGAGGTTAGACGCAGGGTATTAGGGAATGATGGTAAATCAGTTGATGAGGTTATGAATCTTCATCGACTGAGATGGTTGGGCCACGTATTACGTATGCCTGAACACCGATTACCGCGACGTGCAATGCTAACCGGTGTAGGGGATGGTTGGAAGAAAGTTAGGGGCGGCCAAACCAAAACGTGGCATCAGTGCCTGAAGTCACTAACTTCTAGTCTGAGCCATGTTGGTAGATGCAGACTACTTGGTTGGGGTCCGCGTGACTTTCGTAACCAATGGTTGGAGACCCTTGGTGACATGGCTCAGAATCGATCACAATGGCGTCGGTGTATACACTCTCTGTCTTCTCTTAAACTAAGAGATTAAGATCACTTCACATCTTTCTTTCTACGAACTAATTCTTTCTTCCTATACTATATCCTTATTGCAATCTTTCTCCTATATATTACCACCTTTGACCTAACCACTCCTATGAATCCAGTGTTCATCTTGCTGTGCTAATGAGGTATGGCAACCTGGGCCGATGCATACATGTGCCTGGTCCTACGTTGTAGCTGACTGACTGACTGACATGTATTAAACTTGAAGTTTAGTTTATATTTCTTATTGGTTAATCACTCATAAAATATGGTTGTATGATTTTTTTCCATTATTCAGGTTGCTTCACATTGTCTAAATGATCTCAATCTTGTTCACTTCCATAAGTCATCTGTCAATCCAATAACCGCACATCATCGTGAGTACATCCCAGGTTTTGCAAATTTAGTCTCTGATGAACATCAAACTACTAACAATGTTTCAAATAACGATAGCCACCAATGTTTCAATGAGGATTGGTACCTTTTGGATCCTCGTTGGCTTAGTGCTCGATCTCAACGGACCAGCGATAATCCTTTGTGTGATTTGTCTAGTCTTTTCCCCAAAATTATACGTCTTACTTTGAGTCCAACTCAGTTAACCGGTTCAATGCTTCTTCGACTTTTATATCAAACTTCGTTGCATCAATTATCTTTAATTCAAGTTCGTTACCATTAGTTCATAATGCTTTTATTTTATTTGGGATCAATTATCAACTATTTTTAGTTTACTTGTTATATTTGAGGTGTTTTCTGTTAATGTGTTGATTTCGGTAATTCTTCTTAGAATGTTAAAAATTCAGACAATGGAGAGTAAAGCAACATATTTACAGTTGACTGATTATTAAGTAGTGATCAGTGTCATACTTGTTTAGTCTTTTTAATTGTGATTGAATTCTATCGACCAAGTTGGGATGTAGTCATTAGTCTAAGCGACTCATTTCGGTCATGACCCGAATAGCTGCGCAGTATCGTCTTAGATTGTGAGGCTGGGTGTTGCGGGATCCAATACGTCAGTAGAAGCGATTCTTTCAAGATCACAGGTAGACTTTGCCGACAAATGCCAAATGGTACGAAATTTGGGTCCAGGATTTCCTGTCAACTACCTCCAACCACCTAATGTAAAACAATAGGTATTAATCGAACATTATTGATTTCAGTTTGATATTCACCAGGTTTCATTTTCCACATCAATATTTATATCGGTGTATAGAAAAATTGAAACTAATTAAGGTAATGTGTGATTCAGTGCTAATAATAAAGAAGGATTACACAACTAAAAAGTACAATTTGTAAGGTGACAGGCATAGTAGTAAATATCAGAATAATAAACAACATGATAGCACGAACAAATATATCGTCAAAGCTTGGTGAAACAAACCTTTTAAATTGATATTTATTCAAGATTACTTAATATGAAATGTGCGAAGTATAGAATAATGTTTACGGATAGGTTCAAAAACTAATTGTTACGAGAAAGCTTGTCTTTACCTGTCTTTGTCAGGAAGAAGCAATAATGTAACTCATTGATTCGCTTATCTTTGTGAGTCGAAGTCTTTCAGTGTACTAATATTGTGGTTTGCTCTACTTATGCGGATAGACATAAGTAGTATGTAGCAGGAATTATAAAAGGAGTGCTTACCAGCGGAAGATTGTAATAAAGAGAAGAAAGAAAGCAGGGTCATCGGAATAACAACGGGATTGGAAGAATGATGGAGCACATAAGGAAAAACTGAAGGGCGGTGTGCAAGTGATGTATTTAATGTGTAATTTTCATATATTACAAAGGCCCCATGTAATTTTGCATAAAATCATAAATTGGTAAAATGCTAAAAAGGAGCTTCCCTGGAGCCCAACTTTTTTCAGTATCTGACACCAAATGTTTATTAAATCAGTCAAACGCAGATCAATATCCTTCTGAGGTTACTTCCAAATTTGTTTGTAAATTTACATGCACTTACAGTGGCAAATAATTAGGAAGGACTAAAAGAAGGGCGTCCACAAGAATTTCTGAATATATCCGCGAACGCTGTATTTGAAAGGAAGCAAAATGTTTAAAATTTCCTAATGCTTAATGGATAATGAACATAACGTGGATATCACTATGGCGTTTAGATTAATTAACAAACAATAAATACCGTTTTTAATCCTCTTTGGGGAGGTTATTGTCATCAAGCAATCACAACGTGAACTTTGGTTTTAGAAAAAGTGTGGTAAACTTCTTATAACCATGGTAAAATAATTATGGCGATATAAGGCCTATCTTTTACGTCAGTCATTCAGTCAGTAGCAACGTAGAACTTCGTACGTACGTACGTACGTACGTCAGCTGAAGTTACCATACCACATTATCACACAGATACAATTGTCGATTCAAATCCCATAGTGGTAGAGGTAGTAAAAGTGTAATCAGTAGTCGGAAAGATTAGTGTTTGAAGATGTTATTCAAGGAGTATAATCCAGTGCAATAAATTTTGAAGGAGAAAAAAAGGAACATGACGAATTCAGAAGATCAGAATTTGGGAGAACTCAAAGAATGGATGCACCTGCTCACATCATTGCAAACGATTTTGAACCATGTCATTCAAGGTCTCTAATCATCGGTTGCTATCGTCTCGCGAATCTCAACCAGGTAGTCTACATCTACCAGCATGACTGGGTCCACGTGTCTGTGACTTCATGGATTTGTGCCATGTTTTGGTCTGGTCGCCCCTAGCTTTCTTCCAACCTACTCCTACATCATAAAACATCGCACGTCGGGTCAGTTGGTGGTTGGGCATACGTAATACGTGTCCCAGTCATCTCAACTGATGAGGTTTCACTAGTGCATAAATAGATTTGCCATCCTTACCTAATACCCGTTTCCTAACAACTGCATTGCTTACTCGGTGGTGGTCCCAGGATATACGAGCAATGCTTCGAAGACATCTATGATCGAATACTAGTAACCTACGAATATCCTCTATTCTTACTGGCCATGTTTCACTGCCATAAACTATCTGTTACGTAATCCCTTAATTTTATATTCCTCTGACACATATCGTTAATTTTAATTTTATACAAACTAGGTGGGTTGATTATATAGCCACTTATTTGTCAAAAAAACTTAAATTGTCTATTAATTATTATTTATAACACCACATACTGATTTATATGACTTCGTTTTTAATATATAAATACAACATAGTTGTAAGAACTATGTTAAATGTTTTGTTTTTCTTGTTTCTAATGTTTTTCTGTGTTATTCCGAAGTTGACTTCATTGACTATACTTGATTTATAATATTATATTTAATTATAAGTTTAGCCCATTTAGGCAACTAATGTGAAGACTCGAAATATCATGACTTCATTTTATTTTGTAAATATTGTCGTTCACATTTTATTTAAATATGTGAATAGTCAGTTTAATAATGTACCTAGTGAAGTTAAATGAAAAATTAGGGTATAAAAAGATCAGTAACATCGTCCGTTGAATGTTTTCTGGCGAAGGATAGGACAGAAATGTTAAAAATGTTTGCTGAACACAAAGACTAGGTCTTTAAACTCGAATCCCTATGACTTTCGATATATTTAAGGTATCTATAATGTAGTAGGTATTAGATTGAAGTATCAGTCAGGGGAGGATCATAGTTAAGAAAGGATATCGTTAAATTCATATCAAATGTCTTTTTCTAACTGGATTTCTTACGTATTTGTGTAAATCAGTGATGACTAAATATAAGATTTTACGGTAAGGGAAAAAGATAGTACTATAATCTAAGAATGTTCTCGTAATGACAATACTTGTGCACTTTAATCAATGGTGGTACAGTCGTTCAACTAATTGGCTGATTCAAATTGGCTATTTTTCTTTTCAGTGTTATTAACGAAGCTAATATTGTTTTCGGCTTTAAAAAATATTCGAATAAAGACAGTCAGTATTTCTACGAACGTCTACTTAGCATTGTGACGTATAGTCAAATAAATTGACGTATGTTAACGCTAATATTTAGCTTTTGAAAGTTAGTAATGAATAAAAATTGTTTTATAATTTGATCTTTACGTAAACATTTATGGGATTCTATAATAACTGTGATTCATTTCTTGTGTCATTACTTTTAATCTCTTGTAAGTCTTCTATTTGTTAATAAAATTAATGTTTGGAATAAGTTTCTTAATGACTTCATTGACCATTATTTTAGACTATTTTTAATGCCAACTTACTGAGTGTTGCTTAAAAGATGATTAACAGCAGTTTTTCATTTTATTTCATTTTTTAAAGACTGATTTGACTGTATTTACCATACCTCGTTCTGAAAATCCTCCTGTTCAACGAACTATTTTATATGATTCTGATGATTTATATATGGGATTTAATGAAGATCAAAGTTTTGATCCTAGTGATTCAAGTATGCTGGATTTGATTGATTGGACTGAAGATGTTCCACGTATTCGTAGATATGGAACTAATCAAGATACAACACCTGGTTGGAAACCGATACCTTCAAACGTGTGGCGTGCTGCTCTTATTCTATGTCCACATCTTACCATTCATTTAAAGTTGGAGTTAGTTGAAGATTTAACTTGTTTACGGTGGAAAAGTCCTTCATCATCTGATAAATTCAATTCAATTCATAATTTACTGTCTTATTGGCCTGTTCCTCCTGCACCGGTCACTTCAATCACATTGATTCTAACTGGAGAACCTGCATTTATGGCTGGTTTATTAAGTCCACAAAATGCAATCAATCCTATATCTTATTCACAATCACTTACATCATTGATAATATTATTGGAAGTATGCAATTTTTATTCTTTAATGATTTATCCGAACACTCATTATTCGTATTTTTATATTTTGACTAAATAATAGTATGGGTGAAATAATGGCTTGTTAATTAAAATGTGGCTTTTGATCACTAGATTATATTTTATTACCCCACAACATCTACCTCTTTGAATAGATCGATAGTGTCACTTGAAGTCAAGCAAACGATGTGAGTCAGTACTATTAATAACGTTGAATTTTATTTGGTGAGAGTAATTTACCTCAAATGAAATGGTATTGGTAAGAAGTCGAAAGCAAGTTGTCATGTTCAGGATAAATCGGATCAACTTTACTAAGAAAATTAATTCAGATCATGTTCATAGTAAACTAGATATACTTCTATGAATAAATCATAGTAAGATTCTGATAGCAAAAGTGTTTCCAACCTATTGTATTTCATTTTGTGAAATGCAGTAAAGATTAAGAGGTATTTAATAGTCAACTTTCTGGTAAATATTACACTAACGATTCAAATTCACACGATAATGTTCCTGAAAGTTTTTGTGCCATATTATCCTCAGAATAAAAAAACGCGACTCTTAGGGATTTAAGTGAAATTCAAATATTATGTATAACATGCAGTAGAAATACTCCTGTATACTACTCACAACGTTTAAAATGATAGTGGAAAATTATTTTTTGGAACCATAAAATAAAAATGATAATGTCAAACCTATTAAATGCTTAATTCTTAGATTATATATATCAGGGAAATTGAAAATATTCCTGTGTCTTAAACCTTTAAGCCTGAAACAAACCTTAACTTGGTGGCACTACACTTTATGGGTACAATAATCAATCAGATAGCGTATATTATGTTTTTGAGTGAAATTTATCCATCTACATGGATTCGGAGTATTTGTACATCATAGCTGATGTCCGTTCGGAATGAAAACTGTAACCATAAGTCCCTACTTCTAACCCTAACTATGAACAATATTAAAACCCAAAACTTTGTTTGGACCCTTGTAAGGGTTCGAGAATATGTACAATTTATATTCATTATAACGAGTTTCTATCTCAGTTTACAGTCAGAGTAGTTACTTGTGGAAGAAATTAATAAATTTACCATATAAAATTTGTCTACATTCAGAATAGTACTGTTTTCTTTTCCATAAACTATCCATTTATAAAAGCCCTTTTTCTAATTGTCTGGATACAATCCGTAAATTCTTCACAGTTGTCTTAAGCTCATCCCTATACCATACTTTTACTGCAAAAATGTTTAGTGAGAGTAATATGAATTCATTTATTTCATGCAATTGGTTCCCCTTATGAATTTAAATAGAGCAAGAACAAACATTGATGCAGAATAGTATGAATTCATATTATTTCGAGGTTTCTCGTCAGCTGCTTACAAACCAAAATTGTGATAGAATTTTTACATGGAGATAGTGTGAAACAATTGTAATCAAGTTATTTACACTCATTTATGTCAATTGTTTCACACTATCTCCATGTAAAAATTCTATCACAATTTTGGTTTGTAAGCAGCTGACGAGAAACCTCGAAATAATATGAATTCATACTATTCTGCATCAATGTTTGTTCTTGCTGTATTTGAATTCATTTATTTCATTAATTCTGTTCAACTGTTGACAACTTAGAAATAGTAGTATGAATCATTAAAAAACAATTTATTTATTTAAACACATAAACATTGGTACAAGGAGGCATCAAATAGATATGCGCCACACAAATCTCATTTGATTTGTGCGAGGGCTACGATGCTGCCCGGGTGCCCAAACCGAAACAGGTGAGCTTCGTAGGGGACCACACCAGGAGCCTTCGACCTAAAGGTCTGATCCACAAGGCAGTGGAACAACGTCAGGAAATGCAGTCTCATGGTATCTAGTGACCAACAATTGGTTCATACGCCATTTGCTCCTTTAGGATCCTGGAGCCCATGTGCACCGTTGGTTTGGAATCAGGGTTTTCCAACTCCCCTAGATGAACTCTCCATATCCACCAACTCGATTAGAGCGCCGGACATTCGCCTTTCGTCCTCTGAGTTTTGTAAACAACACCTGCGCCACGAGAAGGCAATGAGTAGGACTTCCCTGACAGAGGCTATAAACGCGTGACCATGTGAGAGCATTTCGAGAGGGAGAGCGGACTCTACCTACTCTCGGCCGTACCAGGGCATTTGCGGGCAGTGACATACAAAACAACGTACATACTATATTTGTTATAATCAACGAAATTTATTAAGAAAAATGAGTTGTATGAGATGCTCATATAATTGTCAAATAATGCGAATATTTTAGAAATTGCACAACAACAAAAAAGATTGATTAAGATAAATATACAGTAAAAAGAATGTAGAAGAGTAATTTCTAGTTGCACATGCAAAATATGATATTACTAAAATAAGTCTTAGAAATTGAGGATACTAGATATTAAATACAACACTGATAACATTATCCTTTTTTAATTCGTAAGTTCAGTTTGAGTTTTTTTATAGCTATGATTTTAGTATAATACAATACGTTTGAAGTCATTTTCTTATTGATCACTTTAGGTGGTTTTGCAATGTCATCGTCATACCGACTATCAAGAAAATATTACAGGATCTAATTGTTTTATAGCATCGACTACAGTGTCAATTTTTGTAGAATGTACTCGAAAAATACATACAATAATTGTCCTTTTCTTACTTTTTGATCGATCATGACGTTAAATGTTGAGTAATCGCCAGTTAGATGTTATCAGTTTAGGAATGGGCATCTGAATAATGTTCATTCTTTTCAATGCATATTATCAGCCATGACAATGTCTCTGATTGTACTTTTTTGTAACTTGTACAGCAAAAGTTCATAAACTTCTCATAAACGTGCCTGAATAGGTTATGCGATTAATAGATATAGTGAATTGTTAAAACAAATAAAAACAAACAACTTGTTGAAATATTTAGATGACAGGAATAGATAGTCCAGATAGTCAAGCAAATTCATATTTTTCTACTACAATCGTTGTTCTTGGTTTATTTTGAATTGAATGAACTTTTAAAATTCTGCTTATAACTACTGGATTACTTCGAATTGTTTACATTGATTTCACTTTCATGCTTCTAAGGTAGCTATTTCACGTTTTATTGTATAAATTTTTCTTTATAGATTTAATCGTATATTTAATGTTGATCAAAAGTTTTCTAAAAGTGGTAACAGTTTTAGTTGTTTAGCTAAACATCGTATGCGTTAAGATGTGTATACTCACTTTAAATTGATTAGTCCGTAGATATGTCCTCTGAAAATAGATAGTAGTATAGTAAACTATTGTGGTATTATTTATAGAAATTAATTGTAAAACTACAGAATTTTATTGATACTTATCAAAAATAATTTGTTTGATAATTCTGTGTTTCTTTTTACTGTTCAGAATATACCTTCTGAATTGAATATATCTGGTTCAATTAAACAATTGAATGAATCATGTAAAGATAATCATTCACATGGATTAGATCATGTTCTACAAGATTTGATTAAAGCCTGTCCACATCTTAATCTACTAGCTCTTGGTGGTTCAAGTGCTTATGTGCATATTTTAACCTTATTGGTAATATGTCGTCAAAGAAATCAATGTTGTAATTCTATGAATGAATGTAAATATAGTCCATTACAATTAGTTATCCAAAAAGAATGTTGTCAGTTAGATGGTGTTTGTCCATTAACTGTTCCAGCTACAATATCTACATGGTATAGTACAATGATGACTGAATCGATATCGTCTAGATTAAGAATAGCAGAGTGTTGCATTTGTACTGCATTAGGTCAACGTCGATGGCATTTTTTAACAAATTCAGAATTTCATAATCAACTTAGTAATTATTTGTTATAAGTTATCTATTTACTTATTATCTATTAATGTGTTGTTTTTCCTTTTGTTAAACAATGATTTCCCCTATCCTACTCACCATTTCTAGATTATTTGAATTTCTCCATTTTTTTCGTTTGCATCCCTTTACTTGTACCTTCGTGTTTTGCTTATCCCTAGTCTTTCATGAACCATCTTTGAATTTTTTTAACACAGACACTAATAGAATGATATTTACATGAATGGGATAATTTTTAAATTTATCCTAAGTATATAAGGAAAATTTAATGTTATCACTAAATATTATTGAATTAATTTGTCAATTACATTGTAATTGGATTTTTGCATTTATTTTTACCTTCGTGCCTTCCTTTTTGGTAAATTTTATCTTTAATTTAATTATATATTATGATTTCAGTCTGAATATTTATGCTTATTAAAAAGAAAATTGTATTGTGGTTTTCTGTTCTTTAAAATTATTTCCACTTACCCACCTACATACGTACGAATTGATAACAATGAGTTGTGTAGTAATTACAATAGATCAATTGAATTTTAGGTAGTTTTGTACTGTATGAATAAACCAGAAAGAATGTACTAACTAAATTGAGAATTCGAATAGTAATATTGAATTTCCTTTGTATTTAACTGTTCTGTTCTAGATTTTGATCATGGGACTATGAACCTTTGCTGGTTAGACTATATTATATTACCGGGTCAATCAGAATAAATATAGTAACTATTAGTTTTTCGTGCTTAGTTCAAATGACAATGTTAGATATGATTGTAGGACAGTAGAAAATTCTTTTATTTACAATTCAAATAACTTTGAACGGAATAAAAAGGTCTCCTCAGCACTGTGCACTAAAATGATATGACATTAAACTTAGATTACACGGAACGGTTGTTCCTTCTAGTGAGGAGTTTCTGTGCTTTCCCTTTGTTTGAAATAAACTCAGTTAAGTGATGTTATTATTGACTTATTGAATTACAGACATCCAAATATTTGAAGAATGATATCCCGAAGACAGTTGTAGAAATAGACGATAGTAGTGGAGCGAAATATATGTGGACGTGAGGATGGATTAAGGAACATGAGACTTTGGAAGTGACTATCTAGAAGTTAAGACGGGTCTTAGCCACAATATTTGGCTGGGTTCCTCTAGCTACTTGTTTCAGTTAAAAATAAAAGGTCAGAGTTGATGTCGAATGTTGACAAGGCTGTTTATTTTGTAAAGTTACTTGCCACTGTGGATTCTTGATTCTGACGACTTGTGTCCTCATTGTTAAGAGTCAGTTTTCAGAGTTGCCTAATTTCAGCGGGATTATACTTTAAGGGTGTGTTTATCATGAGCGGCCACCATCCACTTCAATATCAATTTCAGATTTGACTATACTTAAGTTAGATGGAGTTTTAAGGTAATTCAATTTAGATAATATGTATTGATAAAGTTCTCAGTTGTACGTTAGTGTTTTGAAAGCCATAGAAATGTATAGCAGTCCAAACTATATTTAAGTTATATATTCATATAATACCTGCTTTAAAAAATAAACAAATGTGTTTTCCTTTTGCTTTTCTTTAACATTTCCTTTAGTTTATTGTATTGATTTATGCACTTTATGGCCGGAACATGGTTCAATAGTCTATTAAGAGTCTTAACACAATTTGTCCCAACACTCACTCACTGGAAGAGACAGAGACTGAAGCAGAAAACGAAGGAACTATGTAATGTTTTTATCCCAACAGCTTTTCTTGTTCATCATACGATTTATTGGTTTAAGTATAGATAACTATGTGCTGCTCTCAGAGGAGTGTCTAATGATGGCTAGGTCGTTGGGTTTAAGCTTCTGTCTGGTGATGTCAAAATTTTCTCACAGTTTCACTAGGGGGGAGTGAGCTGTGGTGGTAAATGACTCCCTAAAATAGGAACTTTGGTAGACGTTAGGCATTGATACTAACCATGTTGTATTTAGTAAATGCTGTTAGCTGAGGATGGTCGGTCAACCATCACCGAATTGCGGGAAAATCTGACGTGGAAATCGTCTCCTCTAGATAGGTAGGAACGAGAAAGCCAATTACTCTATCATTCCCCACTATCCTCGCGTTTTCCCATGTTTGTTATATTATACTTTGAAACCAGTGTTGTTGAATTCTCTCGCATCTAGTGTAAATTCGTATCTGACAAACTTATATTCTTTAACGAAAAGATTCATAATATTGACTAAAATGAACGATGAGACATTAGCTCATTTGATATATTTATAAAATGTTCAAATATATTGTAAATTTGATACGTGGAACCCGAAAGGCTTTGCGAAATTAATTGATTAATTTGTCATGATCTGACAAGATACGTATATTCTGTATTGGTTGGACGTATTCAAAAGGAAACTTTGGACCTGATTTTTGTTCTGCTGGAGCATCGTTGTCAAAGGGTGAACCGAACTAGTGCGACAAAGGTCTGCTTGTACAGGGAAATCACAAAGTTTACCTAACACGTATACATAGTCTTTGACCAAACACTTGCATCTCGCGGTGTGTTATGCAATTCAAACTGTCATCTCGTATGGTCATCAAGTGTTCTGCCTAAATCGTGCGTTTTATGTACTGAAACTCTTTACTCCTTCTGACGACTGTGACAGTTTCAAGGCCACGTATCGTCACATACTACTCACAAGCATTATTGTGAGTAGCGTCCACAAAAATGTGTACCTATAATCATGAGGGAACTAATGTTCTCTGATATGTTCGAACCCTCACCAACTAGCTTCACAGTCTGACATGCGATGACCGATCTGTTTAGGCAGAAACTGACTTCCTGCCAGACTAAGATATACAGTCAGTCAAAACGTAGGACTTCGTACGTACGTACGTACGTCAGCTGAAGTTACCATACCACATTATCACACAGATACAATTGTCGATTCAAATCCCATAGTGGTAGAGGTAGTAAAAGTGTAATCAGTAGTCGGAAAGATTAGTGTTTGAAGATGTTATTCAAGGAGTATAATCCAGTGCAATAAATTTTGAAGGAGAAAAAAAGGAACATGACGAATTCAGAAGATCAGAATTTGGGAGAACTCAAAGAATGGATGCACCTGCTCACATCATTGCAAACGATTTTGAACCATGTCATTCAAGGTCTCTAATCATCGGTTGCTATCGTCTCGCGAATCTCAACCAGGTAGTCTACATCTACCAGCATGACTGGGTCCACGTGTCTGTGACTTCATGGATTTGTGCCATGTTTTGGTCTGGTCGCCCCTAGCTTTCTTCCAACCTACTCCTACATCATAAAACATCGCACGTCGGGTCAGTTGGTGGTTGGGCATACGTAATACGTGTCCCAGTCATCTCAACTGATGAGGTTTCACTAGTGCATAAATAGATTTGCCATCCTTACCTAATACCCGTTTCCTAACAACTGCATTGCTTACTCGGTGGTGGTCCCAGGATATACGAGCAATGCTTCGAAGACATCTATGATCGAATACTAGTAACCTACGAATATCCTCTATTCTTACTGGCCATGTTTCATTGCCATAAAGTAGGACGGAACGAACTGCTGCGCAGTAAACCCGTCCTTTGGTTGATAGACGGATATCTCGCCTACGCCAAAAGTGACGCAAGTTGGTAAAAGCTAGTCGAGCCTTCTTTATCCGTGCTGAGATTTCGTCACACACCTGATCACATGGGTTGATAAGACTCCCAAGATAATTGAAGCGGTCGACACGCTCAACTACTTCACTCCCTATCATTAGTTGCTCATAGTGGTCAGAAGACTGCATTTTGTCGGCGTCTTCACCAAATAGAACTATGTCATCGGGATACTCTAGGTCAACGAGTGAGTCTCCGGGAAAATGTTCAACCCCTGGAAAGTCAGATGTGGAAAGTGTTATCTCTAAAAGCACGTCAACGACAAAGTTAAACAAGAATGGAGAGAGTGGACAGCCCTGACGAACGCCACTTGAGGTAATCAATTCTGATGACAGTTCGCCATAAGCTCTCACTCGACCAGTTGTGTTCGAGTCGAGAGCCTTTACAAGGCTAATGTACTTCTTTGGTACTCCTTTCAGTGCCAAACACTATCAGAGAACCTCACAATCAAAAGAGTCAAATGCCGCCTTCAGGTCGAGAAATACTACGATTGTGGGCCATCTGAACGTGGGTCTATGTTCTAGGAACTGACATAGTGTGAATATCTGGTCTATACAACTACGTCCAGGTCGAAAACCAGCCTGATTTTCTCTAGTCTGCTCTTCACGAGCTCTAGTTAGGCGTCGAAGTATTATTGAAGCTAATATTTTAGACACTATATTAGTCAAACTGATTCCTCTGTGATTGTCACAAGAGGACTTTTGTCCTTTCTTATAGACTGGCACAATCAGTGATTGAGAGCAGTCAGATGGATTACGTCCAGTTCCTAAATTCTACTTAAGTGTTATGACCTTGGGTGTCTGGTTTTTCTATCACACGATTTATCTACCAATCCGAACACGACTTATACGAATCTTCACACTAGGCCAACCAATGACGTTCAACCGGTGTGGGCCGTTTAGCGTCTTTATTGGTCCTATGTCCTACGAGCCCTTCCACTTGAGTACAGAACACAATACCAGCTTCGAATCAGAGCAGATCGTTTATTTCAAACATACTCGGTTTATATATCGACCAGACAGACCACAACGCACCATAAATTAGAAAATAACATGTGTACACAAATAAGCCAAAAAGTGGCTGTGCACGAGGGGGACAGTGAATAATAGACTAAGCATAGATTAAGAACCGTAAATCGTATAATAATAAATTATAGGTCAAAATAAAGCTTATAATAAGAGGAATATAAATATACGTAATGTAATTGTTGAATAATTATACAATAAGAATATTTATAGAATATTAGTCCATTAATAGTCCTCGGGAGTTACCTGTAATTTAATCTCCACTCGGATATAACACTAAGACCTCAGTCAATCTCACTGCTAATACTGGACCACCATCCTTAAAAATCTCAGGAGTAAAC